AGCAGGATCTGAGGGTCTTGCTTGAAAAGCATCCAGGCACACAAGAAATCAAGCATCAGTGTGTGTGTGTGTGTGTGTGTGTGTGTGTGTGTGTGTGTGTGTGTGTGGCCGGGTGCTGGCTTTTTCACGTTCGTCCTCTAGTGACTCCTTCCCGGCCCTGGGGTCTGTCGTGGTTGCTTTGAAGGCGCAGGGGAAGGCGGAGAGAGCTGTCCCTGAGGTTACTGGCCTCCCGGGGTTCCTAACCCCTCAGCTCACAGAGACATCACTAACCCCTCTTGAATCTGCTCTCCTGCTCTCCTGCGCTGTCCAATAAACCAAGCTTGAGCCCCTGGGGTCCTTGAAAAGCCTCTTGCTTCTGGATCCCAAGCAGAAGTCTGTATTGATTTTTCTCCTGCCTTGAACGACAGTTTTGTTGTACATTAATTGGAATACAATTCACGTGGAATTGCAAGAGCACACCAGGATGCAAGGTTCTTTACAAAGTAGAGTCTACAGAAGTTACTGAGCTAGAAACTTGGTCTCCTGTCACTAAAGTCCCAAAAGCCGATATGAATCTGGTATACACGATATAGCTCTGGAACAACACAATTTCAAGCTCCACTTAAAAGTTAACAACTTTTTCTTGGCAATGGACTTTCTGAACTAGCTCTTCACTGTTTGAAGCTCGTAAAAGCAGATTAAACTGTTATAAAAGTCAAATTCACAATTAGTTTTAAGCTACGAATTTTCACATGGTAGTTCAGGAGTTTTTGAGGAAAGAGTATAATTGTAGCTGTGTTACAGCGAGAGATGGATTTAAGAAAGCAGTAAGGCCACCTTTTTGCAGTCTTAAGACTGGTCTTTATTGAAGCCTAAGTGGTTAAAGCTTTTGCTAGATCTGAGTTTAAACCTACACTCATTTTCTAGATGTCTGTTTTTTGGCAACTCACTTTACTTTCCTATACTATGGATTTCTTATTTACAAAGGAGGCCTTGCTGAATACTGCCATGGAACATCTATCGCTTGTCCCCATCAATACTAGCTGGAAACTCTGGTACCATGATGATGGTGACATCATCAAGGGGAGGTACCTGGCCTAGCTGAGCCAGTCACAGGAACTCAAGTGGGGGCAATTTGAAAATTCTTTTAATTCTTCCTACTGAATGTAGGAACAAGAAAAGACACGAAACTGCAGCTGCGTCTGCGCCATTAGCATCATGGGGTAAGAGCCTGAAGGTGTGGGGCCACCAGGTGAACCTTAGAAGGAGGATTACACAGGAAATGGCAGAACTGGGATTTGGACACAGTCCAAGATGGGTGATGTAGTTTGAGCCCTGGAGCTAGCCCAGCTCTTGGTCTTTTCTCTTACCTGCTTCATCTATCGTGGGTCTAGTTTTCTGTTAGTTGGAGCAGGAAGAATTTCAATGAAAATAGGGGTTCTCTTACTACCTTGTGGCTGTGGTGAAGTTAAAATACGATGTTATATGATTTGCTTTGGACAGTGCTTCCGAATCATTCTGTTTTGAGGTATTTCTTCAACTTTACAAAGTTCTAAAAAAATCCCATTTTAAAATTCCCCACCTTGTCCAAATAATTAAAATTTCATGATGTTTTGCTATTCAAAATAGGTTGGCCATTTTTCTTTAGTTATTGATTAAAAAATTAACCTTGTCATTATTACTTTGCTATAGGTTTTCGCCTCTATCCCCCTTAGGAGGGGTCTTTTATGTGCTCAGTGTGATTTTGATCTCTTAGGACCTAAGACTTAGGTTAACCTATTCTCCTGCCTCAGGGGCATGAGTATCTGGGACTATGTATATGAATCATATGTCTGGCTTATGCTTTCATTTAAACATTGCTGCATCCCACAGATGTTGAAGACTAGTGGTTTCATTTTCATTTGGTTCAAAATATTCTTAAAATTTTCTTTTGAGTCCAGTAATGTACTGTGTCCTGGCCAGTGCAGGCACCTACACAAAGGATTCCCAGTCCCTTATAACATCTCGTGATTTCTAACGCTGTGGCATTCATTCCCCTTATTGTTGTAAGCACACAGTCTTCACTCCTTCTCTTTGAACCAATGGATCAGTCTGGAAGATGAAAAAACAGACTAGCTCTGAGTTTCTGTCCTAAATTACTTTCTTTGTCTCTGCAGGGCTTCTCTGGACAGTTCTTGAAAATCAGGTCTTCTGGTGGCAGCTTCCTGAACTTTTTATTTGTTAAAGAGCATTGCTAGTTTTTAGACAGGGTCTAACTATGTATTCCTGGGAGACCTGTAGCTTGTTGTGTTTCTTAGGCTGCCCTGGTATGGGATTGCAAGGAATTCAGGTGTGCACCATCATGCCCAGCAATGAGCATCAGTTTTTTTTAAAAAAAATTCTTTGAGGTAAAATCCACATAGAACAACACTAATCATCATAGCTCAGGGGCGTTTTATATGTTCACAGTGCTGTGTAAGTACCTTTCTTTAGTTCTAAGATATTTCTGCACTGCACAGTGGAGTTTAATCTCACATCCATGCAACAGTGGCTGCCCATCTCAGCCCCTAGCAGCTGCCAAGTTGTATTCTATATTCATAGGCTTAGATATACAATACATAACCTTTGGTGTCTGGCTTCTTTTATGTAACATTTTTGAGGTCATAGCATGTACCAGTGCTATATGGACTCATGTTTGCATGTCTGTTCTTATCACTTCTGTGCATGTGAAATTACTGGTCAGCATATCTGACTACCAGACTGCTTTTTACAGCCGTTGCTCCACATTTTGTTCTTATAAGCAAGGTCTGAGGCTTAAATGCTTCCACAGCTCTTGTTTTCTCCTTTTGTCTTGATGTTGAGACAGGTTTTCATTATTACTGTAGGTTTGCTTTGAACTCATGATCTTTCTGCCCCAGCCTCCTATGTGGTGGAATTCGGATATGAGCTACTATGCTTGCCTTCTACTTTAAAAATCCTGTTAGTTAGGAGGTGGTGTTACAGTTTTGTATCCCCCTAGTTACTGGTGATGTGGTGTGTCTTCGTGGACTAGCCCTTTAGTGGGAAGTGCCCTTTTGACAAATCTTTGACCCACAGATTCTGGTTGGGCATGTCCATTCTTCTGATGGGCTACTCAAGACAATTTTCATTTCTGTTACAGTGTTTTCAACTTGTATTTCTTTTGATTCTGTCTTGATTCCTTCTCTGTGCTCATATTTTCTGTTTGTCCTTGCAGGTGGTGTACTTGTTTTACCAAAGCAGGGCAGGCTACTTTATAAAGAAAGACAAAGGATTATTTAGCTTGATGTTGGAGTTTCATAGGCATGGTGCCAGCATCAACTTGACTCTGGAGAGAGCCTCATATTGAATGCTATGCAATGGTAAGAGTTTCTGTGGGAGGAAGACTGTGTGGCCTTAGTGAGTTAGAGCCTGTCTCAGGCTTTTGTAACAAAAGAACTAACTTTGGGTCTTTTGACTTTGATCATAATCCTAATCTTGCCTTTACTTTTCCCAAGAGGATGCTCCAGTGGCCCGAGGCTTCCCACTGCCATCACTGCCACAGTGAAGACCAAGCCTTTAACATAACCATTGAAGAACAGACCACATTCTAACCATAGGAGCCATTATCTCATTAATCACAGTTTAAATATCCTCTTTGTTAACTTCAGACTCTCTGCCATGGTTTTTGTCTCTTGTGCCTTCTTGCTTCAGAAAGTGCATTTTCTTGCCTTCCTGCACGCACTGTCTTTCCTGTCGAAAGCTGGACATGTGCATTCAGTGATGTGATCTAACGTCGGTAGGTGGTCACTATTAACGAGATTGGAGGCTTCTTAGGACAGGGTTGTTGACTGTTGGGGTAGGAAGGAGATCAAGGTGCTCAGTATCCTCTAGTCTGATTTTAGCTCTCCATGCTCACCCCACTCAGTGTCTTTGGGTTTTATTTGGGATTTTTTATTTATTTATTTATTTATTTATTTATTTATTTATTTTTGGTTTTTCGAGACAGGGTTTCTCTGTGGCTTTGGAGGCTGCCCTGGAACTAGCTCTTATAGACCAGGCTGGTCTCAAACTCTGCCTGCCTCTTCCTCCCGAGTGCTGGGATTAAAGGCGTGCACCACCAATGCCCTGCTTATTTGGGATTTTTAAATGAATTTAGTGTCTTTCAGTGCCTCAGCTGTAGTCCAGAGATAGACATAGTTGGTTTTCTGTTTGGTCACAATTGAGAAGCAAGGTGGGATGCACAGGAGCTCACCATACTAACTGTACCATGCTGCTGTGTGACACTATTAATGGGTAGACATGAACACACCTCAGGGAACTGACAGCAAACCAAAGAAAGTCCTAAAGTCCAACTTGGTAACTAATGAGTTTTATTGGGATTACTCACAGGAATGTGTGGGAGGCGTTACAGGAACAGTCATGAATTACAGCTGCATCACCAAAAGCCCGCCCTAGCATGGCTCATGGCTCATGGATAAGCTCACTGCACTTCCTACAGGCAAGTCAACAGTTTGGAGACTTTGAGGAAGCTCAGGTGGTCTGAGCCTCTTTTAGACAGTTCAGCTTGTCTGAGAGTCTTCTAGGTAACTTGGCTGGTCTCTGCTC